GCTCTTTGTTACCTTTCACGGGATGCACTTGCCTCAGATCTCCCCAAGGCCAGAAGAACTCGAGGAATTAATTTACCAGGAGAGCTAGCGTGCATGCCTAGAAACTGTCAGAGTCAGGTCCCAGACAGGAGACAAGGCCAAGGCCACAGAGCCAGCCTCAGCAGAGCCACTGTGGAGCTGGTCCAGCCCAGAGTCCAGTGGGATTCACCCACTCGAGCCAGAGCCTGGATTTTTCTCTCCCCTCCAAGGAAGCTGAACCTTAGACATATCTTAGTTGCAGATGCTGCAGTGGGGAGTGCCTGGTTTGTTTTTCAGATTTCCTCCCTGGGGCTTGGAGCTCAATTCTAGCAAAATGTCAGCCAAACGGGGGCGGAGGGGGGGGGGTGTCTGGAGCCAGAGACAGGGCAGCCTCTCTGAGGTCTTACAATGGGAATTTACCCCTCAGTGCCCTGAGGCTACATCTGGGCCCCATGCTGTCCATGTGAAAGGCCCAGGAAGCCCTGATCTCCCTTTAAAAGCCAATACCTCCCCTAGCCCCACCACCCCCAACCTTCTACCCTGTCCCACCATCAAAGCCCACATGGTTTGCAAAGGTCCAGGATGAGGCCTGGGAGAGTGGCCAGGACCGTGTTACCCTGTCGCTGCCGCTGGGTTGCTGGACAACCTGAGACACGTCTCTCACCCCTCTGCGCTCCCGTCTCCTCTAAATCTGTAATGAGGGACAATGTGGTGAAGAAGAAAGGGGCATTTGATGAAGATTGAGGGCCATGGGCTCTTGGCCAGTGGGTCAGATTTGGCCCACAGACATATTTTTCATTGGTTGATAGAGCGTTTTAAGTTTTTACACTTAAATGCCACACTGTGGGACGAGCTGTGCTGCCCCGTCCCCGCCCGAGCAGCAAGGTCATGCCACCTGCCTGGCTCTGGGAGCAGCCTGGGCTCTCGAGACTGCAATCTGTGTTTCTCAGGCCTGTGGCATCCGGATGACCCTGGCTCCAGCAACTCCTGTACATTCTCACGCTAGGCCTGGAGTCTGCTCCAAAGCGGAAAAAGCGAAGGGAAGCTCCTGATACCAGGGCCCTGGACCCCATGAGACTGGGCCCATGTCGAGGGCCTGTTAGGGACTGTGGTATGGCCTGGGACCAGCTCTGAGCCTTGGAGAACAGGAGGGAAGGAGTCAGGATGGAACCACGGAATGCTGATGTGGGTGTGGGCAAAGACTGCGGGCTTCAGTGAGAATGGGAGCACGACTGGACCGGCAAAGCCACCAAGCCCAGGGCCCTTTGCCAGGCCAGCCGCTGGGGCTCTGATCTTTCCTTCCTCATTGTGAGTCTGAGGGGCTTCTAGGGGCAGAGGGGTGGATCCTCTAAGCCATATGATCCCATGGCGGGAGCGCAACTCTGTGGAGAGAGTGGGGCCCAGAGAGCTGAAATTCGCTTTGCCATTGTCTCACCTCATGAGCCCCAAGTGTCGACTTCCCCATGTGTACAATGAACATCTTTGCCCCACAGGATGGTCAAGAATTGCCCAGAACCGTACAGCATCAGCTAGGAAAAGGCAAACTCCAACGAAGGCGCCTTGGGGAAGGGGTGCCGGGTTTGATATGTCATCAGTTTTTTTCTAGGTTGGAACTAGACTAATGGTAGGAAAGTTTTTCATAAAATCCACAATGTCCATTTCAAAAAGTCAAAGCTAAAACACAGGCCGAAGGCCCGTGGAGGAACACCCAAGGCCTCCTGCCATGATGCTGGTGAAGCCCCGGCCTTGTGTTTTCCGTTTGGAATTCTCTGGCATCTACTCAACAGCTGTGTCCTTTGGAACCCTCTGCACCGAGCTCCCAGGCGGCTCCACCAGGCGGCATGGGAGCTCTGGACGGGAGAGAGCAGGTGTGAGTGCATGAGAACATCTGCGTGCATCCGTGTGCTCTTGTGCTTCTGCCTGGCAGCCCAGGAACCGAGTAGCTGTCTAATAAATAAAAATCCAATCTGAGGACCAGCAAAGCCTCAGCAAGAGAGGGAAGGTACGGAGGGAGCTCAGCACAGGGGCAGGAAGAGGAACAGGGTAGGGCCGGGTGGGCTTCACTGAGGAAGGGCAGTGTGTGCCTCAGGCAGCTGGCTCAGGGGGTGCCGACCTCCTCCCAGCACCTGAAACCACCAGGAGGGGCCAGGCGCCAAAGAGAGGGATCATTCCAAGGGAGGGGTAGCAGGGGCAGAGGCCCAAGTGGCCAGTGCTGAAGACCCCAGACCTCACTGCTTTCTGTGCAAGGGAGGGAGGAGGAGGGGAGGGGCCAAGCGACACACCTTCTCCTTCCTTGCCTGGCAGGTGGAGGCTAGAGCTGGCCCATCCAGGCTCCTGGAGGCGGGCTCAGCCCCAGCTACCTCCCTTCTTTGTCTGGAAGTTTCCCAGGGGTGGATACACCTCCTGTGAGCTCTTGGGCTCCATCTCTGGCCTGGGTGCTGGGCTTCCTGGGTGGTTTTCACCCCATCTGGGGCATTGGGCCAGAACCACCTCCCACTGCCCTCACTGTCGGCTTCTCTCCCTAGGAATAGGAGGTGATAGATGGGGGTGACAGTGATCACCATGTGTCAGGGTCAGGGGTCCCAGTCCCATTTGCCAGTCATTGCTTGGGGATCTATGTTACCGAGCCTGTTTCCTTCTCTGTCTCACCATACCCTGTGGGAGTTTGGGGGGATAAGCCACTTGATGGTGACCAGAGGAGTCTGCTCTCCCTCTGCACGGTCCCAGGCTTTCCTAAGCTGGGCCTCAGGTTCCCCTGAGGGAAGCCAGACCGGGTCTTCTTCAAGGTTCTTCTGATTCTGACCTCTGGGCGTTCTATTCCACCCCCCACCATCGCAGTCAGCTATGAGCAGAACTCAGAGGCCCATTCCCATATCCTTCCAGGGCAGGCGAAGCCCTACCCCAGGGGACCCTGCCACAGCCCACCTCCTAGGAGGGAGGGAGGGCAAGAGACACCTGTCATGTGACCCTACAGGTGACCCTGCCAGACTAAGACAGCAGAGGCTCAGAGAGGTGAAGGATCTTGTCTGAGGCCTCGTAGCAAAGTAGAGGTACAACCCAGACAAGATCCACCAGGCCTGATGACCTCAAGTCCGGGCTCTCCTGGCCCCAGCTCTCTGCCAGCTTCATGACATACAGACTCCAGGGACACGTGAGATGATCAAGCCCCCTGTCGCTGTCATTCAGCCCAAGTTCAACAGGGGCTCCACCTGGTTGTTCTGAATTGGCAAGGGAGACTGTGCACAGAACTAAGGCCTCAGCAAAGAGATGGTGACACCTGGCACCCCATCTCGAAACCATTCCAGGTCACATTCCAGCTCCTCACTGTCCTGCCTCTCCCCCAGGAGGCCTTCCTCTGTCTCCCAAGTCTCCCCAGCTGGCTTCTTCTGACCACCTAGTGAGTTATCCGAGCTGCTGTGGCCCTCAGCCATGACCCTGACCACCACAGCCTCTCGTACCAACAAGTGGGCATGCACTACACAAAGTTAGGCATCTACCCGGCACCCCAACACCTCTGCACCTAGCTGCAGTCTAAGCTCCGTGAGGACAGGGAGGGGCTGTCCCGAGAGGACGCTTCGACGTTCTGGCTGGCTGCTGCAGGGTGTCTGTGGTCCTTGGCACAGAGGAAAGTCCTTTCTGTTAGTCACTCTATATCAGTGGGATAGGCTTGCCCAGAATCTGCTCGCTGGGTCCTGGAAGGGGGGTGAAAGTGTCCATGGTGGGTGTCCAAAGCGATTGGAGCCTGGGCATGTCGCCGAAAACACACCCCAGGGCAGTTTGGCAGTTCCAGGGGCTGAGAGAGCAGGGAGAACCTTGGGCTCCTTGGCATGGTGTGGATCAGACGAGCTCCCGCGTTCCGTCAGTCCACAGTGCCGTTGACACTTAGATGACCTCTTACTGTAGAGCCGAAGCTGAGCGCGTCCCAGTCCATGTTTCTTGAGTCCTTTGATCTGGAAGGAGCTGCTCCACTGAAATGGGGGCAAGAAGCCAGGGCAGCTCCCTAAAATGTGCTCTTCTTGGGGGGGGAAGCTTAGGGGGAGCTTGCAGCACAACCAGTGAGACCCCGAGTCCAGAGAAAAGAAGTAGAGATGACCGGGAGGCTGGGGCCCAAGGTGGGGTCAAGGACAACTCCCAGCCCAGACAGGGGCACCCAGGCAAGATAACCCGTGACATACCACGAGTGCAGGATGCATAACGGTGGGAAGTCTGCCTAGTGGGACCCTCAGGCCCACCAGAAAGCAAGAAGGTATTTACATGGGTGCTGTGGAAGCACCAGAAGCCAGCTCTTGCCCAGGCGCGGGGTGGCTCAGGTGGACAGATGGTCAGACAGCCGGGGAAGCGCCGGGCTGGGCTGGGACTGTAGCTGTCTGCAGAACAGTCTGCTTGTCTGGGAGAAGCTCAGCCGCGGACTGGGAAACGAGAGTGTCTGCAAGTCCAACAGCGCTACCACAGAACCCCAGAATCCCTGGCAGGAAAAGGGGAGGGAGGGAGTTTCAGGCAAGTGGGGGCTAGCGAGGAGGGGGTGATCTTATTGGGCCCCTCTGGCTGTCTTCAGAGGGAGCTGGGAGGCTATGGCCCTCAATGATATGTGTCATAAGTGCTTGGTGCCCGCTTGGCTCCGAGGGTCAGTGACGGTCGTAGGCAGTGGCAGCTGCAGGTGGGGCAGCTCCTCGGGCCGCGGCGCTGTAATAGTAGGGGGAGCCTGGAAGAGACAGGAGAGAGCACTGAGACTGGGCCAGGGGTCCCCCTTCTCTCTGTCACCACCTGTGTCCCTTCCCCGCCTTCTGTTTTGGTCTCTTCCTTAAACTCTGAATCTGATCAGGGCTGCTACAGGCTCATAGGATTCAAGACCTTTACCTCCTGGAACTGGAGTTGGCAGTCTGGGGCCCTCGGGTCCAGGCTTCCCAACTGCCTGTTCTAGTAAAGAACGTCTTATCGGAACAGGGCCGTGCCCCTTTGTTTACAGATTGCCTTCGGCAGAGTGGAGTAGTTATGGCAGAAGCCCTAGGGCCTGTGAAGCCTGGAAGATTTACTATCTGGCCCTTTAAAGAAAGTTTGCCAAGTCCTGACCTAGAAAATGAAAAAAAAAAAACGCTTCCTTCTCCATCTGGCCAGCCTCTCTGGATTGCTTTCCTGCAAGAACAGCCTGCCTGCCCACACTCACGCTAAACTAAGCCCTGTGCAGCTGTCTCAAGTCCACGGTGACGCTGACGCCACTGTCACAGCCGCACAGCCCGTGTCCGACCCTGGTGGGCCTTCCCACACGTCGCCTCCTGTAAACGTGTGCGGCGGTAGGTAGCCCATTTTACCACCCTCAGGTCTCTGTACCTTTTCCGCGCCAGGCTCCCTGCCTCGCCTGAGTCCTCGCCTCCTTTCCTGTCTGTCAAATGTCTATGTCTCCGCCAGGTCCTGGCGCCCTCCTCCCAGCTCATGCTCCTCGCGGGCTGGACCCCGTGCTACAATCACTTCTCTCTACACACCCCACCCCTGGATGGGGAGCCCTACAGAGGCAGGGGCCGGTTCTGCTCTTCTCGGTGTCTGTCCCAGGTCCCAGCCTCAGAGCCCTGCTGGGTTTGTTGTGTAAATAGGCTGGGTGAGCAAACGACAGCGAAGGCTCCCATTCATTCATTCACTACTTCACTCACTGCTTAGGTCAGACCCTGTTGGCCCCCTGGCTGGGCAAGAACAGAGCAAATACGGGCCTGACGTTCGGAGCCAGGAAGGGGGTCCGTGTTCTTGAGAAAAGAAGTCCAGAGCGAGTAAGGTTGTTCTAGCAAGTCAGTTGGAGCAGTGAGTGAGGCTGGGCTAGGCGGACATGGGGAGGCTGGAGTCAGTGTGTATAAGAGGGCAGAGTGCAGACGCCTTCCTGCGGCCCTGGGCTGGGCGCCTTTCTTCGGCTACATCCTGTCGATGAGGCCTCCCGGAGCCCCACTCCCTGTTCAAACTCCTCCTCAAAGATGAGGGAGCCTTCGGGTGGGGCGGGGGCCCGGGTGCCTAGCAGATTCTCAGATCCACTAGACCAATCTCCTCCCTTTTTTTTGGAGAGGTTTTTGTTATAAGGCGCGTGCGCTCACCAGACAGAGAGAGACAGAGAGACAGAAAGTGAGAAATCACCCCCCAGGGGGGTTGGCCACGCCGCAATCCCTTCTCCTCCACCAGCCTCTCTGGATTGCTTTCCTGCAAGAACAGCCTGCCTGCCCACACTCACGCTAAACTAAGCCCTGTGCAGCTGTCTCAAGTCCACGGTGACGCTGACGCCACTGTCACAGCCGCACAGCCCGTGCCCGACCCTGGTGGGCCTTCCCACACGTCGCCTCCTGTAAACGTGTGCGGCGGTAGGTAGCCCATTTTACCACCCTCAGGTCTCTGTACCTTTTCCGCGCCAGGCTCCCTGCCTCGCCTGAGTCCTCGCCTCCTTTCCTGTCTGTCAAATGTCTATGTCTCCGCCAGGTCCTGGCGCCCTCCTCCCAGCTCATGCTCCTCGCGGGCTGGACCCCGTGCTACAATCACTTCTCTCTACACACCCCACCCCTGGATGGGGAGCCCTACAGAGGCAGGGGCCGGTTCTGCTCTTCTCGGTGTCTGTCCCAGGTCCCAGCCTCAGAGCCCTGCTGGGTTTGTTGTGTAAATAGGCTGGGTGAGCAAACGACAGCGAAGGCTCCCATTCATTCATTCACTACTTCACTCACTGCTTAGGTCAGACCCTGTTGGCCCCCTGGCTGGGCAAGAACAGAGCAAATACGGGCCTGACGTTCGGAGCCAGGAAGGGGGTCCGTGTTCTTGAGAAAAGAAGTCCAGAGCGAGTAAGGTTGTTCTAGCAAGTCAGTTGGAGCAGTGAGTGAGGCTGGGCTAGGCGGACATGGGGAGGCTGGAGTCAGTGTGTATAAGAGGGCAGAGTGCAGACGCCTTCCTGCGGCCCTGGGCTGGGCGCCTTTCTTCGGCTACATCCTGTCGATGAGGCCTCCCGGAGCCCCACTCCCTGTTCAAACTCCTCCTCAAAGATGAGGGAGCCTTCGGGTGGGGCGGGGGCCCGGGTGCCTAGCAGATTCTCAGATCCACTAGACCAATCTCCTCCCTTTTTTTTGGAGAGGTTTTTGTTATAAGGCGCGTGCGCTCACCAGACAGAGAGAGACAGAGAGACAGAAAGTGAGAAATCACCCCCCAGGGGGGTTGGCCACGCCGCAATCCCTTCTCCTCCATTCTCCTCTCGGGATCTTGGGCACGCACGCACACGCGCCCAGCATGAGTTTTAAGCCACCGGCTCTGGGACACGAACCACGGTCAGCTACATGGGAGTCCAGCAACATAGCCATTACGCTAACTGCTGGTCCCAGTCTCCTCTTTTTACACGGAGGTTCTACAGCCCAAAGCCACAGAGCCTCTCAGTGCCATGGCCAGGTCCAGAATTAAGTTCTCTGCCCCCTTCTGACAACTCCATTCCTGGCCTACCCAACGGCCCTGGAGGGAAGCGCTGACCCCAGTGGGCAGCAGTAGGACCCTGTCAGCCATCGCAGGTCATGCCAGGGTGGGACGAGCAAGCTCAGTGACGTACATTTATCCTGAATCTCACCCAAATCCAAACCAGTTCTCCCAGATACCATACCAAGGGCCGGGATTCAAACTCTGCCAGTCAGGCCCTACGGCTTGGCTGTGAGACCTTGCAGGAACGACTGGTCGTTCCCTCTGGACCTCGGTTTCCTCATCTGTAAAAGGGGGCTGCAGTGGCGCTATCATGAAACAAGGACGTGGAAGTCCTGGGGAAATGGTCACTCTTCCAAGCACTTTGTACACCTTAACTTTCAGCTTCCACATCAGTCCTCTCACGAACACACGATTGTCCTTTCGTTACAGATGAGGAAAATGAGGCACAGAGGCTGAAGCACTTGTCCGAGGTTAGTATGTAGGAAAGAGGGGTATGGGGGGGGGATTGGCATGCGCCACCTCCCTCCAAACTCAGCCTTGATTCGTAGCTATGCCACCCCCTCATCAATCCCAGGCACAGCCCCAGGCAGTGGTGACAGTGGCAGAGGCACCCTGTACTGCCCCAGAGGCTTAGACTCCAACCCCATGCCTCAGTGTTCCCAGAGACATGGAGTCTTCTGCCATCTCCTCTGTCACCTCCCTGCCAGGACCCTTGACTCAGACACCTGCCAGCCTTCCTTTTCCATGGGTGGGGACAGCATCAGGACAGTCACCCACTGAGCACCAGCAGTGCCAGTCTGCACCCTGCCTGCTGATGGACCATGGCAGAGACGTGTGTGAGAGCCACCCCTGCAGGCTGGGCATGGCCTAAGAGATGGGAAGTCCATGAACGGGCCCTACAGGGAGGAACGGAAGTAAAGGCTCAGGCCTGGGGGACCCCTAACCTGGCCCCCACCTGCCCCGCACCTCTCCCCTTGAACTCTGACTCATTCCCCTCCCAGAGCCGGGTCCCAGCCAGCCTGGCCAGGAGGCCCCCGCGGGAGATATGCCTTTACTGTGAAGAATGGAAGCATCACCTCACAAAGCACTCTGTCTTCTTGGTGCCCAGTAGCTCTCCATCTAGAATACACTTGTCCTTTCTTCTGTCACTTGTCCTCTCTAATTCACATTAGCATCCATTTACTGCCTGACACAGTCACTCCGGCTCTGTGCCCTCTCCAGCCCCTTTACAGCGGCCACAGGCTCCCATGTTAGTCCTCGCTGACCACTGCTGCCCTTTCTCCCTGCCAGCCCTCCTGCCCACCGGCCTCGCTACCTTCTGGCCAGCTTGGGACCTCAACCCCAATGGCAGATGCTGGACCCCAGCCATGTGGGGA